GTGAAATAATAATAATTTTATCCTTAAAATCTAGATTCTAATTCTATTTCCATTTTAGCCATTTCAAAATTGAAATGGTTTCCGTCCTTCTCTTTCTAAGATTGGTATTTCAAAATTGAAATCGTAATTGTTGTTGTTATTTTTTTATTACAGAGAGTTGAGGCCCTTGTTATAGTCTTGAGAACATATCCTAGTAAAAATCTGATACCAATATCATATGGTTGATTCATATAAGTAGCAGTAAACCTAGAGAGCATTTAGTACCAAGGTAGAGCTTAATAAGTTAATAGGTAAGTAATATAAAGCCACTTGTATGTATCATTATAATTGACGTATATATCCTTGCCAACAACTATTCCTATAAAAATCATAGATTCAATGTATATTAATATCGCTGTAGCAATATTGCTTTTAGGTCGATAAGTGTTAGTATAGCTTCTGAGACAAAAGTATAATTAGGCAATGTTTATATAAAAAACACTTTTTTACGAAAAAATCTTCAAAATTGATCAGATAAGATACATCAGGTGCACATTGCCAGTTTACGTTATCATTTACATGCAACTTTATTAAAATCTTTGCCAATATGGCATTTGAATGAAAATCTTCAAGAAAATATAGGCTACAAACGTAACAAAATTCTTACTAGGTAGATATAAATAAACTGTGTTGAGTATAAGTATACATCATATACAATAGATCAAACCAAATTACCATTACCAGTTTATCATATCAATGCCAAAATACTTGTAATATTTTACATATCTAAGTAAATTAAAAGACTGGAATATTCTTTGGAACTTCCCTTTGGAGTAAAGTATTATTTTAATCAGTGATTACGACAACGTCTCTCCTGTATTTCAAGGTTTTGGGTCGATTTTTTTCATGCCTTTTTTTTAAATTTAAGATAAAATGGTGCTCGGCTTTTTAAAAATATAAATTCAGTTCACTTTTTCAGATTAATGATAATGAAATACACATTTTTGTTAAAAAAATTTAAAGGAGTAAAAAAAAAAAAATTCCCTAACATACAAATATCAGGTCAGTTTCTGCGAAATTTTTGAAAGTGTGTACTTAATATGTATCAGACCAATTTTACTCGCGAAGTTTGAGATATGTATCTGTTAATTTGAACTTTTTTTTTAAAAAAAAAATCATTGTTTCTCACAAATTACAAAACTTATCAGAATTTTCTCGCAGACTTTACAGATAAGTACGTCCGCAGATATTTTATTCAAGGAAACTTTTAACAGTATTTTGTCTATGCACTAAATATAGCAGATTATTTTCTCGTGAATCCTTGAAAAAAGAGTCTTGATCATTGTTCTCGGCTTCAAGCCAATATTCATACAGAGTTCTTACGCACATGAACACAGTTTTGACGTTTAATCCCTGTTTGACACAATTCAGGCCAGACGTGGATCACCTATACTAAATAATATCGAACGATCTTCGATTAATCGTTCGTCAATTGATATCGATATAGTTAAATACATCGAGAAATAACCCGTGTATATTAAAAGATATATAACTCATGTTTAACATAGAGTTTGCGTGAAAGATGTATGTTCTGGTAAATTTCCAATTGCTACAAGTTGGCTACTCGTCTCAAAGGGATAAATTGAACTGTAAGATAAATGATAGTTAACGATAAGTCTAGCAAATACTACCAGCGTTTAGGGGATTCTGTCCATAGACTTGCCACTTATCGTTCTGTCCATAATTTAATCATCTTCAACACAAAACACCCTCACTGGGTATTACTATTTGTTGTATATATTCAATTATCATTTAACATATAAAAATAACGAATAAACGAATTTCCACATCAAAGAAATCAGTCGCCACAATCTGGTATCGAAATGAGGTTGCTTTTCTAGACGATCGCAAGTTTAACCGAATAGACCAATTGGATTATGATAAGATTAGTCTGTATTTTCATAACAGACTTGGCTTATAATCGGTTCATTGGAACTACCACTATTGCTGTAATTTAAAACAAAATTACTAGTACGCTCAGATTCAGTCAATAACTCAGGATCGACACGAGTCTAATTTAAGTCATCGATGAGTTTAAAATTTCTTTCCAGTTAATGGCAACACTTTTTAGTTGTATCTTGTTCTGTGTTATTCAGTCAATGCAAGATCGTCAAGATCCCTTAAGTTATGAATTAGCTGGCCACATTTTTCAGTTCACTTGTCCATTGAAATTGTGCTGCTTCACAATTTACCATCACTAAAGTTTCTATTTGTCCAATGATATCCTTAATATAGTCAATAGAAATCTTTACATAATAAAGACTTTATTCGGCAAACGCGATTCCGCTACTCCAATGACATGATAAACAGTGGTTGACCTTGCCATTGGCAGAATCTGAGAGCAAACGAGTTTCCAGAGACAAATTGTGGGACCAACTGGGTAGTTGGAATGTTCCAAAATTTAAACAAAACACACCGTTTACATCCAGAAGGGCTGAAAAACATGTAACATGTATATGAGTCTATCCGATGATGACAATGACATCAAACTTTTCTTAGATCAATTGAAAGTTGGTAAGTAACAGGATCTACAATCTAATAAATACGTAAATTGGATGTAGATAATTTTACTTAAAGACATCAATATGAAAAAAGCGTTCTATTACTTATCAAAGCTAGTCAGTTGGTTTACTGTTGAAATAATGAATATCTGCAATTTATCTAAATCATTCATTCCACTTTTTCTTACTATCCCATCTGTTTTTAATCTACTGGCTTTAACTGTACTCTTTAGACATATCAACATACGGGGGTTTATCTAGGAATTTTAATTAATGAAAATATTTGTAAACAAACCTCTCTAAACCAGCCTAAACTTTCAACAGCTCTACTTTGGGTGCCATGGTCTTTGAATGTAGGATAAACCACTTTCATACAGGATGGTACCTAATTGGCTTTGCTTGAACAGTTTTGATGTTATCAGGTATTTTGGTTGAAACATAATTACATCTAATAAACTTCTCTTTGAAAAAAAAAACATTGTACCACATGAGAATAGACAAATATAGGTTTGCCCTGTTTGTCCATTATAATCTGATGCAAGATATGCGATGAATGTATGAAGAACATTCCACTTAACAAGAGATCTCTTACGTGTTGCATGTATTAAGACCTCATCAGAACAGTCCGTTTGGAAATGGATTTATACCCGAATACTTAACAAGGTACCTCAAAGATGCTTTGGACAAAAAATACACCACTTTTTTCTTTTTTTTTCAACTCACTCATCTTTTACTGTTCTTTACTTAATGACCTATAGGTCAGTCTTTTTTTGGAGAAATAAACCCTCCCTCCCAGAAAAACAAAATTTACTCAGAATATCTATCTAATACAATATCCACCCAGTACCCCGCATCCTTGCTAAAAATTTATCTTCTATAATGCTCGAAAAATAGCGTCTTATCACAATTGTCCGACTTCTGCTAAAATAATCTTTTGAATGCAAATTTGTCTCTTCGTCTACATGTTAACGGTGAAGATCGACTTCTCCGTCCTTTTTGAAGTTTCTTTTAAAAAAATTATCACGATAAACTGTTTAAACCAGTCTCTATTCTTCTTTCAGATACCTGAAGAAGTAGATGTCAACGAAATTCAATAGACACTGTATTGGAAATAATATAAAACGAAACAGCAATGGGCTAAACAGAACATAATATTGTAAAATAACGTTCGATAGAACTGAAACAAGACTAACATCGGATATAAGAGAACTGAAATCAAATTATTCATTGTGAACTGGAACATTGCTCCCAGCCGTTAATCTCCATTTAAAATAAAAAAACCCCAGTCATTATTCAATTGAACTGTTTCAAACGTAAATAGTAAAGTAATTAAGAACTTTATTTATATAGGTTAATTCTACCTTTTTCTACCACCAGTGACGTCATGCCGTCAAAGATGATTCAATATTCCTAGTAATTGTTCAATTTTGCTCTGATTTCCCGCTAATTTTTGATAGATTAGTTTGAGGATATTGTAAATAGTACACTATAGTAATTACGGGTTTATGTCAATATATATTCTCTAATAGTCATTACAAAAGTGATATTTAAATATTCATTAATTGGGAATATCACTAATAGCCTTATAATAGGCTTAAGATATACTTGACAGCTCGTACCAACTATTTTATAGCTAGGAAATAATGAACCGGTGTTCGAATGTGACCAATGATTACTTGACCAATCTGTGAAATTGAGGAGAATTAACAGTTAGCCGATCACTTCGAACTGTCTAATATACGTGAGCGACGCTCAAAAGACTTTCAGCAAAATGTTAATTAAAATATGTACAGGTGCAACTAATTAGCACACCAAATTATTATCGCTGCGTATTAATGTGTTCCATGTGACAAATGGTCGAAAATTGCCATTGAAATCAATACCATATTATCAGTGTGGTTTATTAATTACAGAATGTCATCACTAGCATGTCTCCTGTGCAATATTTGATTAAATGGAGTTTTAATATGTAAAGCATCAAGGACATGTAATATTGATTGAACAAGGATTACAGAACGGACAATTTGAATAATTATGCCTTTTGTCGTCATGGTGGAACCGGCCAATCAAAAGACTAGAATTGATTCCACAGAACAGCTGCAAACAGATAGCAGACGATCAGTGTCAGCTCGCGCGCGGAATAGTCAACATGTCGAGAATAAAATACCGTCAATACAAGATGGAATGGAGGAAAGAAGAGAAACTATACCCGCGGTGATTTTACCTTATATTACAGCATTGGATAAAGATGGGAACGTAAACCGTGGATATACCTCTCCAGATATAGAACTTCAATCCTACTCTTTTCCTCTCCTGTATAACAACAATACAAAACTTGATGGTAGTGACAATAATAACCATCATCTAACACCGTTATCACTACCTGTCACAAGACATAGTGATCTCGTTAGCGATATATTCACCATGAAAACCAACCAAAGACCAAGAATACTCAAACAGATGAGTGACGATGAGGCCAGACACGATGACTGCATCAGTAGAGAGGAATCGGCGAAACACAGAGGAAAAGAGTCGGCACTGTCAGATATAGGCGCCGATTATATGCGTGTAAATGGGACGATCGGCCCGTTTAAGCAATTACAAAAACCATGTTCCTTGCAATCGCTGCCAACTTCGTCTAAAATGAGCTATACTTCGACGGAGGAGGCAGGCGTTGCACTTGTAGGAAGCGGGAGTGAATACCAAAAATATACTGAAGACAAAACGCAAAATAAAGCGCGACAGAAAAATGTCGGGTATCGGTTAGGAAAACGGAAGGAACTTTATGAAAAAAGGAAGAAGATTTCTGATTACTGTTTAGTGTTCAGTATGTTTGGAATATGTGTGATGGTCTTGGAAACGGAGTTATCCATGGCAGAGGTGTACACGAAGGTAAGCAAGTTACGATGCTTTATTTTTATTCACATCTATTGACATTTTAAATAACTATTAAGTAGGTGTTATAAAGCTTTAAACAAGCATTGACCCAACCTTTTTCTAGTCATACAGAAGCAATACCTCTACTTGACTTGTCCTGCGCTAAATTTAACTCTATATTTACCATCCTATGCCTATATAGCTAAAACAGCTGTTACCGATGTTGATAAATTGATCATTTATACAGGATTTCATTACAAACTTGCCATATTGTGCAACTCTCTTTTGACTGAAATAGATTTGGTGTGGTCTATCTAAAAAGGCGGGGAGAAGAGCTAGGCCAGAAACCATCGTAATTTTGGCGCCATTTATTTTAATTGGCAAAGTATAGTTCCCAAGTTTTAAGACTTGACTTTAAATTATTTTGTAATTCACTGATTTATTAAATATGAATTGATTATTGATCCAATAGTAAGAAACTGCTGTAATGTCATTCAACCCATTAGTTTAGGGTGTTGGTAACCTACTTCCACTAGAAATCAGATGACCCTGTTGACAATTTTAAAGGTGCTCTTCTCAAATTTTTACAATTTTTCAAGAACTGTATTAGATCTCTTCAGCAATTTGTTTGGGTTAAAATTGAGAAATTTAGATTAACTTTTCTTGGTTGAAGTCAAGAGGGTTACCTGAATACTGAATAGATAGATAAATGAGAGTCCTCCTGTGCTATATTAAGACTAATTGCCAATTGTATATACATCTATAATAGGACCTCTACTGAGTTATGTAATGATATTCATTAACAAACTCTTCATGTTATGAGAGGGCCTAGAGTGAAAATCATATCACCATGGAAACATGGATAGTGTGATACCCTTTAGAGCATGAAATGGAAATAATAACCTGATTACATGAAATTAGAAGTAATTAGTCAGATTTGAGATATAATTATATCTGATAATTGGTTATAGAGCTAGAACTAATAATTGTACTTACATGTATATCATTAGTATTTCATAGTGAGAGAATTCTTCATTTCAATGAAACACCACATCTTTCTACTGTGTCCACCCAAAAGTCAAATAGAGTTGACGAAGGCAACAAGATAGGCATCAGATAAAATTCAGAATTTAAAAAACTACAGTGTCTGATTGGTTTTTCAAATTTGAGTTTAGTAAGAATAATTGTCTCTGGGATGACCTAGAATTTTGAAAAATGTTTTGGTCTTATGTAGGTCTACAGTGTTGGACTGGTTTTCTGGCCTACTGGGTACCATAAGGTCTGTATGGTGTTTTACAGTGTTGGCCTGGTTTTCTGATCTACTGGGCACCATAAGTTCTGTATGGTGGTCTACAGTATTGGACTGGTTTTCTTGCCTACTGGGTCTGCATGGTGTTCTACAGTGTTGGACTGGTTTTCTGACCTACTGGGCACATAAGATCTGTATGGTGGTCTACAGTGTTTGACTGGTTTTCTGATCTACTGGGCACCATAAGATCTGTATGGTGGTCTACAGTGTTTTACTGGTTTTCTGATGTACTGGGCACCATAAGGTCTGTATGGTGGTCTACAGTGTTGGACTGGTTTTTAGTGAAACCTGGTACCATAAGGTCTGTATGTTTTCTTGTGAAACTTGGTACCATAAGGTCTATTTGTTTTCTTGTGAAACTGGTACCATAAGATCTTTATGTTTTCTTGTGAAACTGGGTACCATAAGGTCTATTTGTTTTCTTGTGAAACTGGTACCATAAGATCTGTATGTTTTCTTGTGAAACTGGGTACCATAAGATCTGTATGTTTTCTTGTGAAACTGGGTACCATAAGGTCTGTATATTTTCTTGTGAAACTGGTACCATAAGATCTGTATGTTTTCTTGTGAAACTGGGTACCATAAGATCTGTATGTTTTCTTGTGAAACTGGGTACCATAAGGTCTGTATATTTTCTTGTGAAACTGGTACCATAAGATCTGTATGTTTTCTTGTGAAACTGGGTACCATAAGCTCTGTTTGTTTTCTAGTGAAACTTGGTACCATAAGGTCTGTATGTTTTCTTGTGAAACTGGTACCATAAGATCTGTATGTTTTCTTGTGAAACTTGGTACCATAAGGTCTATTTGTTTTCTTGTGAAACTGGTACCATAAGATCTTTATGTTTTCTTGTGAAACTTGGTACCATAAGGTCTATTTGTTTTCTTGTGAAACTGGTACCATAAGATCTGTATGTTTTCTTGTGAAACTGGGTACCATAAGATCTGTATGTTTTCTTGTGAAACTGGGTACCATAAGGTCTGTATATTTTCTTGTGAAACTGGTACCATAAGATCTGTATGTTTTCTTGTGAAACTGGGTACCATAAGGTCTGTTTGTTTTTTAGTGAAACTTGGTACCATAAGGTCTGTATGTTTTCTTGTGAAACTGGGTACCATAAGGTCTGTATGTTTTCTTGTGAAACTGGGTACCATTAGGTTTCGTTTTTCATAGA